GCGGGTTGCGGTGCAGCTTGTTGCCCGTTTGCCTGACATGTTTTGTAATTGTTTGAAAATGATAAAGAAAAAATTAATGCAAATAAGAAGAATAAAAAGAAGAAGGAGGAGGAGAAGGAGATGATGATGAATTTGACGGAGAATTAGTTTAACAGACGGAGGGACAAAAAGTCTCTTTAGAGTGATTTTTTCAGATATTTAAGGCACTCAGAGTATATTTTGAAAACTATGGATAATTAGCAAATCTTAACCCAAAATATATGATACCCAACAATACTTTTTCAATACACTACTGCGTGGTATGAAATATATTTTTTATATTTATACTACTCCGTAATTTATAGATGAAATAAATTAAAATGAAAAAATTATACAAGCGGGTTGAATAATGTAATTTTGTTTTCAACCATGCTACACTTACCCCAAAAACTGTATCCCAAACTTACGTCAAAGGTATACAGGGTAAATTTCACAAATGGTACCTGAACTTTAGCTAGAATTTCGAAGTGGTACCTGAACTTCAAATCCTTTCACAAAAATCTCTGAACTTACACAATCCTTTCACTAATGAGCCATTAGCCCGTTTCTAGGTTAACTTCCGGTCATTAGGGCCAAATTCGAATTTTATATATTTTAAAATTTTCAATTTGACCCCATTTCTTCTTTTCTTTTCTTCCACGCCCCCCCGCCGCCCGCCGGTCAAAGTCGCCGGAAAATGAACTTTTTCCGATTCCAGCGGGACCAATGTCATTCTCTTCGTCTTGAGACGAGGATCAATAATATCCAAACCATTTTGTCTAATTTGGCCTGTAACTTCTCGAATCTGAATTTTTCTACTCGAAAAAACCCTAAAATTCGAAATTGGATCCAAAATTGGGGGTTTTGCAAATATTCATCAAATCTTGCAATTGAGGGGTCCTTGGAGGTCGCCCGGATGCCAAGACCGCATTGGCGTTGGTTTCCGGAAACCGCCGGCGGGTCGGAGCGTTTTCCGGCCAACTCCGGCGAAATTGACGGCGGGCACCAACGCGAAACCGCCGGGGGGTCGGAGCGTTTTCCGGCCAACTCCGGCGAAATTGACGGCGGGCACCAACGCCAATGCGGTCTTGGCATCCGGGCGACCTCCAAGGACCCCTCAATTGCAAGATTTGATGAATATTTGCAAAACCCCCAATTTTGGATCGAATTTCGAATTTTAGGGTTTTTTCGAGTAGAAAAATTCAAATTCGAGAAGTTACAGGCCAAATTAGACAAAATGGTTTGGATATTATTGATCCTCGTCTCAAGACGAAGAGAATGACATTGGTCCCGCCGGAATCGGAAAAAGTTCATTTTCCGGCGACTTTGACCGGCAGGCGGCGGCGGCGGGGCGTGGAAGAAAAGAAAAGAAGAAATGGGGTCAAATTGAAAATTTTAAAATATATAAAATTTGAATTTGGCCCTAATGACCGGAAGTTAACCTAGAAACGGGCTAATGGCTCATTAGTGAAAGGATTGTGTAAATTCAGGGATTTTTGTGAAAGGATTTGAAGTTCAGGTACCACTTCGAAATTCCAGCTAAACTTCAGGTACCATTTGTGAAATTTACCCAAGGTATACACCAAGATTTTGATTATTCACACTGACATAAAATATTGATGCGTTAACAAAAGTTCACACTGACATTACTGTTGGTGCGCTAACAAAAATTAGCATTACACCAACACAAAATATTGGTGTACTTAGACTAATACACTCATATTGTCACATCTAATTTCTATGTGTTTAGTCCTCAAGTGAAGAACTGGGTTCTTCGTTAGACTAATAACACTCATATTGTCACATCTAATTGGGATGTGATCAAGTATAAGGCCGAAATCCACTAGTTGCTCTTTTAGCCAAAGAATTTGGGCACAACAACTTCCCGCAGCGACATATTCCGCTTCGGTGGTGGAAAGTGCAACACTAACCTGTTTCTTACTAAACCACGAGATTAACGAATGACCGAATAAGTGGCAAGTACCGCTGGTACTTTTCCTATCGAGTTTGCAACCTGCAAAATCTGAGTTGGAATAGCCAACAAGATGACATGTCGAACCTTTGGGATACCAAAGACCTACGTTCAACGTTCCCGCGAGATATCGCATTATCCTTTTGATCGCAACCAAGTGCGACTCTTTAGGACATGATTGATACCTAGCGCATATACAAACGGAGTACATGATATCCGGTCTACTCGCGGTAAGATAAAGTAAAGAGCCGATCATACCTCGGTAGCGCTTGATATCTACCTCTTTACCTTTTTCATCCTTGTCGAGATAGAAAGAGGTGCTCATTGGTGTGTCAATGGATTTAGATTCGGTAACATCGAATCTCTTAAGCAATTCCCTGCAATATTTTGTTTGACACACGAATGTCCCTTCTTTGCATTGTCTAATTTGTAGCCCAAGGAAGAACTTTAATTCTCCCATCATCGACATTTCAAATTCACTTTGCATCATATCGGAAAAATCCCTGCACAAAACCTCACTAGTAGCACCGAACATGATATCATCTACGTAAACTTGAACCAAAAGGATGTCTTGGTTATCCTTCTTGATGAAAAGAGTAGTGTCGACTTGACCCCGTTTGAAACCATGGTCCAAAATAAATTTGTTTAACCGTTCATACCAAGCACGAGGTGCTTGTTTGAAACCGTAAGGCGCCTTTTTGAGTTTGAAGACATGTTCGGGAAACTCATAGTCTTCGAAACCCGGGGGTTGTTCGACATACACTTCCTCTTGAATGATACCATTAAGAAAGGCACTTTTAACATCCATTTGATAAAGTTTAAAATCCATCGTAGATGCAAAAGCAAGTAATAAACGAATAGCTTCTAAACGTGCAACCGGTTCATACGTTTCTTCATAATCAATGCCTTCTTCTTGATTGTAGCATTTAGTTACAAGCCTAGCTTTGTTTCTAGTGATTACTCCATTTTCATCGAGTTTGTTACGAAACACCCATTTTGTGCCAATAACGGAATGATCATTAGGTCTAGGCACCAATTCCCAAACATCATTGTGTTTAAATGGGTTAAGCTCTTCTTGCATTGTCATAGACCAATGTTCATCATTAATAGCATCCAAAACGGTTGTTGGTTCAATTTGTGAAACAAAGGTCATGTGATTAATTGTGTTCCTAAGAGAATTATGAGTAGAAACTCCCTGTGTTATGTCACCAATGACGTTGTCAATCGGGTGATTCTTCAACGTTCTCCACTCCTTAGGATGCTCCGTTTGCTCCTGTGTTTTCTCTTCTTCCGGTTCCTTTTCCTTAACGATTTCTTCTTCATTGTCATAAGAACCTGCAACATTGTCAACAATACCTTTTCTTGCCAAGCGAGCATCAAATTCATCGAAAACAACATGAATAGACTCCTCTACGATCTTAGTACGCTTGTTGAACACTCTATATGCCTTACTACAAAGAGAATAACCTAAGAAAATTCCTTCATCCGACTTAGCATCAAATTTTCCCAAGTTATCTTTTTCGTTATTATGAATCAAAACTTTACATTCAAAGACATGAAAATAGGAAAGGTTAGGCTTTCTTCCTTTGTAAAGTTCGTAGGGCGTTTTCTTGAGTATCGGTCTAATGACGGCTCGGTTTAACACGTAGCACGCGGTACTCACGGCATCTGCCCAAAAATATTTAGGAAGGTTAGCCTCATTGAGCATAGTTCTAGCCATCTCTTCAAGAGACCTATTTTTCCGTTCAACCATGCCATTTTGTTGTGGTGTACGGGGGGCGAGAAGTTATGCTCAATGCCTAATTCTTCACATAAGGCGTCAAAGCCATCTTGATCGAATTCTTCCCCATGATCACTTCTAATGGATGAAATGTGACAATCTTTTTCATTTTGAACCAATTTGATAAATTTCTTAAAAACATTAAGTGCATCATACTTATGAGCAAGGAAAAATGTCCATGTAAACCTCGAATAGTCATCAACGATAACAAAGCCAAAGTAATTTCCTCCTAAACTCATAGTCCTTGAAGGTCCAAAAAGGTCCATGTGCAAAAGTTGTAATGGGCTAGTCGTAGAAACAACATTCTTTGACTTAAACGAGGCCCTTACTTGCTTCCCTTTTTGACATGCATCACAAATTAGATTCTTCTCAAACTTAAGTTTAGGAACACCAATTACGAAGTCTTTAGAAACCAACTTATTAAGATGGTCCATATTAACGTGAGCTATCCGACGATGCCATAGCCACGTTTCTTCCTCTTTGGTAATGAGGCATTTAGCTAAAGTAGACGGTGAATTTTCAAGATCAAACATGTAAATGTTATCTACTCTACTAACACAAAGAATAGTCTTATTGTCACACAAGCGTTCTACAATGCATTTACTAGAATCAAAGATGACACGGTTACCTCTATCGCACAATTGACTAATACTAAGAAGATTGTGCTTGAGGCCCTCAACAAGAAGAACGTTCTCAACGGTTGTAGCATTGTCTCTCCCGACGGTGCCACTTCCAATGATCCTTCCTTTGTTGTTGTCACCAAAAACGACATTGCCACCTTTGGAATACTCTAAACTCCTAAATTTGGATGCGTCTCCGGTCATGTGCTTGGAGCATCCGCTATCGAGATACCAAGAGGTACTCGAAGCCTTCAAGCACACCTACAAAAAGATATCAAGGAGACGGTTTAGGTACCCATGTATTGTTGGGTCCTTTTTGGTTAGGATATGTGCGATGTGTGTGCGTTTGTTGAAAATGCCTAATTTTGGTGAAGCACACGGGTGCAATGTGACCTATCTTATTACAATAATGGCAAATAACGTTTGGATTATTCATCCTATATGGTTGAGTGTAATGAGTTCTAGGTTTGCTAGGAGGTGCTCTTCTAGTTTGATTATTTGTCCTAGCATTTTTATTCCCCCTAGCTTTAACAAATGTTGTTTTTCTAGGTTGGTTTTTTTATATCCGAGTCCTTCACCATTGCTAACTCTTTGCTTAAGTATTTTATCTAAGGTGTTTGAAGCATTATTAAACTTTCCCAATTTGCTTTCTAAACTAGCAACCTTAGCTTTTAGTGATGTACAACTAGAGCATGTAAAAGACGTAGATGAAGGTTCTTGTGGCCTTTTTCCAAAAGAGATAATTTCTTGTTTAAGTTTATCATTTATATTTTTGAGTTCTTTTACATCTTTTTCAAAAATCAGGATTTTTTGTTTAACTTCATTATTTTCTTTGGAAGCCTTTTTGAACATTCCTACAAGTTCTTCTACAATGCAAACAACATCATTAAGAGTTAAACGATCATTGGGAGAAGGTTCTTGATCACTTACCTCTTTTGATGTTTCACCATCCTCAATGGCCATGAGACATAGGTTGGCCACTTCCTCCGTTTCCGAGTCTTCACTCCTGGAGCCGTCGTTCTCCCAAGAAATGTACGCACGTTGCTTCTTTGGTGCCCTCTTGTCCTTCTCATTCTTGAGCTTTGGACACATTGGTTTGATGTGTCCAATTTCACCACACCCATAGCACTTGGGTGGAGTGTTCTTCTTGGATCCCCTCTTGAACATCATCTTCTTGAATTTTCGGACGAAGAGTCCGAGGTCGGTGTCGTCGCTGTCATCATCTTCATCATCAATGTTGTTGTGGGATGATGTTGTTGCGGGCAGAGCAATAGACCTCTTGCTCTTCTCTTCAACCACCTTTGAGAGTTGAGTGGTTTCGTAGGTAATGAGATTACCTCGAAGAGCATCATAGGTCGTTGTTTGGAAGTCACGACCTTCTTCAATTGCGTCCACCTTTGAATGCCATTTTAGGGATAAGCTTCGTAGCACCTTTCTTACAAGTTCTCGGTCGGTGTATGTCTTCCCGAGAAGATTGAGAGGATTAATGATGTTAGAGAACCTCTCAAACATTTCCTCAATCTTCTCGTTTTCCTTCATTGAGAAGAGTTTGTACTCGTGGGTGAGATGGTCGATTTTGGCCTCCCGAACCTGTGCGGTTCCTTCGTAGGTGACCTCCAATTTCTTCCACATTTGTTTTGCGGTTTCACACCGCGAGATTTTGCGGTAGTCATCCGCATTAACACCGCAATAAATCATGTTTATTGCCTTTGCGTTGAGCTCCATCTTTTTGCATTCTTCGTCGGTGAACTCCTCTTCGGTTTTGGGGACGTTGACTTCACCGACTTTCTTCATCGGGACTCCACACCCGTTCTTGACTATCAACCACAATTTGCAGTCATTAGGTTGGATGAAGATCCTCATCCTCTCCTTCCAATAAGAATAGTTGGTTCCGTCAAACAACGGTGGCCTTGTGGTTGATTGTCCCTCGGTCACTCCTGCGTTGAACATCGTTGATGCCATTTGATCTTTTAGTTCCTGAAAAATAATGCATTCGAAGAACTTCCTGCTCCGATACCAACTGTTAAACAAATGTGCAACTCTAGAGGGGGGGTGAATAGAGTTGTTTTCAAGGATGTGCGTTTTTCGCGTGTGTGATATAAAAATCGCAGGAATAAAATAAAAAAGTAGGGGAAAGAGGAACACCGAGATTTATACTGGTTCACCACCTCGTGGCTAGTCCAGTCCTCCGAGAGACTCTCTCGAAAGTCCTACTAATCTTCAAGCTTCAACGGGTGCTTGAAAAACCAGTACAACTTGACAACTTGAATCGCACAAGCCTTACTTTCTTACAACAACAAGACTTGAGTCACACAAGTCTTAACAACAACAAGACTTGAATCACACAAGTCTTAGCAACACTCAAATAGGATTGAGTTTACAAACAAGAATGAAAGCTCACACAATTGAGCAAAGTAGTGTTGAAGGATTAAAGCTCTATGGATGACAACTTCTTTAGCACTCAAAGAAAAATATTTCCAACTCTTAAAAATAATATTTTGATGAGGAAGATGAAGCAAGGAATGAATATAGCTCAAAGGGTATATTAGAGTGCAAGAGTAGTGTGTTGAAATTAAGGAGAATGAGGGATTAAATAGGCTGAGTAAAATAAATCTGTTGGAGCACACTAAGAATAGACACCATACAATATTAATCGATTAAGATAAATCCTTTAATCGATTAAGGTGTACAGAAGCGAAAAGGTCTTCTGCGCAGGGTGCAAATTAATCGATTAAATTTGACAAAATAATCGATTAGATGGCGCTGTCTCAACTAATCGATTAAATGAAGAATAAAAATCGATTAAACTGAAAGCCTGAGAAATCCAGCGCTAAGGAGCTGGATCTAATCGATTAAAAAGAGACTGTTAATCGATTAAATAGAGAATAATGCGCAAAACACAAAGGGCCCAAGCCCAGTTGCGATAAGAAGTGAATTGACTTATATTCGTTTGTTTGAGACAAGAACGCTCCTCAAGAGAAAGTATCCCTTATTCAATGATTTTGAATAGGGAAGAAAAAAGTGAGTCCAAAAAATATTTTGTGTGTCAAACAATGTACAAAAAAATATTTAAAGTGTATTTTTCTTACCCAAAAAAATGTGTATCAAAAAAAATATTTTCAAGAAATTTTGACACACTATTTTGAAACTGACTCAGTAAAATATTTTTAGACAGAGGAAAAATAATTTTTCAACTCACTCAGAAAATAATAATTTTTTTATCTCAAAAAATAATTTGTTTATGTAAAAGTTATTGTCATCCTTACAAAAATTCCTAGACTCAAAAAAAATAAAGGGTCTTCAGAATCTTCACTTCACTTCAAAAACTGCGTAGGGGTGAGCGTTTGATTTTATCACCGTAAATTTCTTGATACGCCTTTTTGCTTTTCTCGATACGAAAAATAAATTTTCGATCAACTTGAATTTAATCATCCTGTTTGTCATTTATCAAAACAAAAAATATTCCAATAATAATAAAGGGGTTTGAACTCATGTCCAACAAATCGAACCGAAAAATGTATAGAATCGAAATCAAATCCGAACCGAAATTTAACCGAACCGATTATAACATATAACCGAAAGATATCTCAAACGAAAAAATCCAACTCTATCCAATTGCCACCTCTATTCACCTAGCCCCAACTCTTTCCATGTTACGGAGCACTGTAATTCCTCATTTCCTTATCCAAGCGTGAAGTTCTAACCCTAATTTCTTCTCTGCCCGTCTTCAACGCAATGCGTCACCTCATTCGTCGCAGTTTCTGCAATGCGATCCCCGCCACTACCCGCGTTCCCAATTCAAGAGCTCCGCCGCCTATTCAGAGCGCCTATTGTTCTTCTCGGAGATGGTATGGACTGGTGCCGATGGTGATAGAGCACTCTTCTCGCGGGGAGAGAGCCTATGACATATTCTCGAGGCTTCTCAAGGAGCGCATAATCTGCATCAATGGACCCATCAATGATGACACTTCCCACGTTGTTGTTGCCCAGCTCCTCTTTCTCGAGTCCGAGAACCCAACCAAGCCCATCCACATGTATCTCAATTCGCCCGGAGGTGCAGTCACAGCAGGTAATTTTTTGGGTTTTGATTTATGTCTGGAATTAGATTTTGTGGAAATTTTCTTGTGCTTAATATTCGGATTTTGAAATAACTCGCAGCAATTGATTTGAAAAGGCATACACTCACTTGCATTTTGCATTCATAAGCTAACTATATACTGCAGAGGCAACTTGTTTGTGGTCACATAAAATGTTTCCGCCTGTACTGGTCGTAGTCTATTTAAATTATTTTTTGGTTGGTTTAGTTTATCATGTTGATACTTCCATTTATCACGTCAAACTACATTTGTGGTTGCCAAATTCATATAGTTTTCTGTGGAGTTTACCAGAAAAAATTCTCTTCATCATTTATTTAAGTGATAAGCCTCTCAAATGGGAACAACTTCCTTTATTCCCTTCTGTAGTTGGGCATTTTTGTGATGAAATGTGTAATCCTATAATTGAATTTTTGCTTGATTCGCCGAGGCTATCATAACAACAACAACAACATCCCAGTTGAATCCCACTACAGTAGGGTTTGGGGAGAGTGTGTGTACGCAGACCTTGCCCCTACTCGGAAGTAGGGAGGCTCTTTCCAAGAGACCCCCGGCTCAACCTGCACAAAAATATGGAAGGGAACACAGTATAGCATGGGTAAAGCACCAAGTACAAACAACAAGCCGAGGCTATCATAAATCTTCTAAAATGTTTGGTTCATAACCATCCCTGCGACTAATCTTTGTCTTCAAAGACCAATTCTTTTTCTTCAAAATCAAATCTTTTTCTATACTTTCCACCAACCATTCATTGCTATCATTAATAGCGCCTAAGTAGATATGATCAATTAAGTCACATGCATTATATTGATAGTTTTGAGCATGATTGTTTTTAAACTCAAACACTTATAAATAAGATGGGGGTTGAGGGAGGAATTTATTCCTTTACAAAGTGCAATGAGAAGCTCAAAATTAGAGAAAGAGGGCTTAGAAATTGGTGGGGACAAGGGAACATACAGTGAGTTGTGTTTGGGCAAAAATAGGAATGTTTAAAACAAAATACATGTGAAATGGTTGGTTCTAAAAAAGATGGCATTAGCTTTATAGATGTGTTTTTTAATGAGAATAACACTATTATCCTTTGTTATTTTTTCTAAACCAAAGAATAAGAAAGAAATACACATTTAATGGCTAAAACTCTAAGTTTATCATGCATGATAAGGAGCAATGATGTGAATAAATCAAATAGAACCTGACACATGACTGCATAGGTTTTATTATAAAGGCTCGAAAACCTAGTTATACAAATAGAAGATGGCACACAAATTTTTAAGTATTTTGATGTCACTTAATTATTGGAACAATACATAGAATGAAGTAGAATTGCATAGTCTATATCAATAATGTGACAATACTTGCATTTTACGACACCATTCTGTTGAGGTGTTTTGGAAGACATGCATTATGATTGTTAAAAGAGGAGTTTTATTCCTTACACTTCACATATTACCAGATAATCAGTGTATAGGTTTTTGGGAATATTGTGAGATAAAAAATCCTTATTTGATCTCATCTTTAAGTACTTACATTTCTTATTTAGATGTCCCACAAGGCCACAATAAAGTTTTCATTCTTTTCAAAGAATTGATTCTGTGGTTCATATCATTTCTCTCTTTCAACCACTGAACCACATAATATCACCTTTTCTTAAACTCTATTAAAAACTAAAGCAGGAATCTAAGTACAGGATGAAGGGAGAACAATGAGCCTAGGTGGACAAACTAGAGACATGAAAACATCAGTGATACCATCACTACATGCACATTACATGCTACGTACATACATGAACTTAACACATATTCTAACACCCCTTCAATCTTGGGTGTGGGGACCAAATGCTCCAAGCTTGTTAAAAATGTACTCAATCTCAGGCCCTTGTTGAGATTTAGTGAGATGGCTAGTTGTCATTTGATCAAATGAATGTTGTGATGATGCCTCAACCCTCGAGGGGACCACCTTCTCCCATCTGAATTGACAGTGTACCTCGATATTGTTAGCTTGTTAATAAAATACATAATTGGTTGCATTTTATCGAGCAACATTAACTTCATTCGTCGGTTGGCCGTTGGCCCGAGCTTACAAAAGTTGAGCTGTGTGAGTTAGGTGTCTTACCCACACCAATTCACATCCCAAGTGCCATTGCATGATATTGTGCTTTTGGACGCAATCAAACAACATCTTGTTTCTTACTCTGCCAAGATACAAAATTTTGAGCTAAAAACAATATGTATCCAAAGAAGACCCATCACCATGAATATAACCAAGAAGTGTTGTAATGTTTTTAGATCAAGCCTACTTGTAGATCTCTTTACATACTTGAAGATTTTAATACAAGCTTCCCAAGGTCTCAAAGGGTGTTTGTACAAATTGACTAACCATACCAACAACAGAGGAGATAACCAGTTATGTGATAGTTATAAACATCAACTTATCACCAAGTTTTCAATATTTTCTAGGATCAACAAGAGGCTCCCCCTATTCATTTAATTCCATGATTCCATGGGTGTGTCAACGAGTTTACTATTTGACATTTTCGTTTCTTCAAGGATATCTTCGGCATACTTTTGATATGAAACATAGATAACTTGCTTAGATTGAGCAATTTCTCGGCAAAAAAACTTCAATTTTCCAAGATCTTTAGTTTCAAGATGTTGGAAAAAATGTCTCTTATGTTGTCAATACAATAAGCATCATCTCCTATAGTGACAATGTCATCAACAAAAAATGCAAGACATACGGAATGATAAACCTTACCTCTTACCTTTCCTAACTTTCCACATTACCACATAAAGACCACTCTTTGAAACGTTCCCATTTTACTTTTACCTTTTCTTGCACACTAGTGTCCTGCCACTGTAATTCTTTGTCCGCTGCATTAGTGCCTCTATTTTCTCCAAGGATTTCTTTTGCCACCTTTCTAATAGTATCTGCCATATCACACATTCACACCATAGCTCTTCCTTACTTCCATG